ATATTACAATCAAATAACAACAGCAACACAATTTAATTTAATTCATTTAAATGGCAAACAGGTAAATGATAATAAGTTAATATTAATTATGTTAATTGTTAATAATACTTATCATTATCAACTCCTCCCATTGGAAAAGTTAATGTTAAAAGATGAACATATTAAATATAATTGTTAAATGTAAATCATTTAAACTAATCACGAATTGTAAATTGTTAATTTGATTGTTGTTCAAACATATCTGTTGATAATCATGATGATGATGATGATGATGATTATGATTATGATATTTAATGATGCTGATGATGATGATAATGATATAATATGTATGCTTAGTAAACAAACAGCAAAAGTGAATCAAGTTTTCAACTATATGATGTTTAAATTGTTAATTGTAATTTAATCATAATAATAATAATGATTATCATGATTATTATACAATTAACTTATAATAATAATAATACTTTTCAACTTGTCAACCTCAAACTTTACTTTGCCTTTTTGATAACTTAATCATATATATGATACGTTGTTTAATTTACAACAGTTGATTACGAAATTGAACAAGAAAAATTTAATCAAGTTAATTAGGTGAACGTTGTAATTATTATTAAATTGTAATTTAAACTTTAATTTAGTTGTTTGTGCTACCTGTTCACTTGCCACTTATGAAGATGATTGTTTAATATGATGATGATGATGGTGATGAGGAGGATGAAGATGAAGATGAAGATGAAGATGATAATGATTGTTGACATAAACAAGGTGAGAAAATATAAAATTTCAAATTCTGGCGAAAATAAAATTCTGGGCTCATCCTTTTTATCTTGTTCATTTTCATCAAATCTCAGAATCTTAGATTGTTTCATTTTCCCTTCTTCACCTTTTCCTCATCCTCATCCTCATCCTCATCACCATCATCATTATCATCTTGCTTATTGCTCCAGGCTATTTAATATTAGGTGTATACTATATAATACATATTATGTGTAAGAATTGAAGGAGAAAAAAATTTTAACCAAAAAATTAAATTTAGAAAATGATTAAGCTTCATGTTAATCTACAATAACAGTAAATTGTAACAATTAACATTTCTGTTGTTGTTTCTCCTCGATCTTAAATTGTGACAATCAACTGATATGAAAGAAAATTTTTCTGTATATTAATAGTTGACTGAATGATAGATTTCAATGTTAATTGTTATCAATTTGAATTCCTAAATAATTATCACCTTGTAAACAATTAACAATATTAACTATTAATATGATAAATATTCAATATTAATTTGATTGTTGGGATGATTAATTAACAATATGAACCAACTGGTGATTACAATTAACCTGTAATTTGCATGGATTGACACCAATCATATTGATAACTTGTTAGATATATAAATTGTCAAGGTTAATGATATCTAAATGTTTAACAATTAAGTGAGAAAAATATATCAACAATAATAATAAATTGTTGTTACCATTCAATAATATTTACCTGTCCAATATTGTTGATAATCTTACAAAAGGATGAATAATGATTCAGTTGATTCAGTTTGATGGTAATATGTTTATCTGTTCATCTGGTTTTGTATATAAAAGTTTTATTAACTAACAATCAATCAATTGTTACACAGCAAATGTAATAATAATACTAATCAAAACGTAAATTATGTTTGATAATGATCAATATTAATGATAATCATAATCATCGGTGTCATTTAAAAACTTACAGACCTTGAGGTCACTTGAAAAATTATCATGATCTTGATGTTGTATATAATATATATAAAGGTATTCAATTGTGATCATCAATTAACTGTCATCAGAATAATCAAATTAATAACAATTAAAAAGCATTGACTTACATTTGATAATCATTAATTTCAATAATTTAATGAATCAACTTGTTACCTTACATTTTCCCATTTAAATTGAACAAATTGATGATGACAATTATTACAACTCATTAATAATAACAATAATAATTATCTGTATATAATTATGTTAATTGTTGTTAATTGAATGTAAGGTTACCACGAAATTACAATTGTATATTATTAATTGTTGTTAATAAAGGAGAGAGAGAGAGAAATTCAATTCAGTAGCAAGAAATGATTAGTTTTTAAATGTTAGAACTTTTTTTTGAGAGAGAAAAAAAAACTCGTAAGTCAAAAAAAAAGTAATAAAAGTTTCGTTTTAATGGTTATTATGATTGAGGTAAATTGTGATTAATATTATTACCATGATTATGATTAGGATGAGTAGGAAAATTTGATTGTTATGATTAGTCTAATAATAAAATTACTTTAAGATGAACGGTAAAGCTGAAAAGTAAGAGGAAAAAGTTTCATGAAACTTTTGTGTTGTTGATTTTTACTGGTGAATAATTGAAAATATCGTTGGTAAAGATTACAATTAACGCAACAATTAACAACCCAAATACACACACACACATACATACACATAAGTTAAGATTAGGAAATAAACAACAAGACAAACTGTGAGATTAATTAAGCATAAATTATGATTATGATTAAATGAGCAATCAACAATGATTATCATGGTTAATGATTGTATGTGTGTGTTGATTTTTCAATGAACTTTTTTTTTACCTCATCTTTACCTTTGTTCAGGTAAATATATAAATTATATTAAATTTGTTTTCTGCTCATTTCTCATTATTGTGTTTATTTTATCAGCGGTTTTTGTTTTCATATATATTATATTTTTATATTACCTGTGTTACCTGGAGGGTAAATAATTGGAGGCAAGAGGAAGGAGGTTACAATAGTGGTGATGGGTAGGGGGTGGGGGGTTACACTGTTTACTAATATGTATCATAAACAGGTAATGATGATGATGATGATGATGATGATTACCATGATGATGAATAACCAAAGGTATTATAAGAAGGTGAATTAAGTTATACTCTTATAGAAATACAATGAAAGAGGAAGAGAAGGAATAAAGAAGAGGAGAAATAAATTCATCCTTTAACAGGTAGAAATTAACATGAAGATGATGAGCCATGGATAATGATGATGATGATAATTTAATGATATTATTGATATGATGATGAAGAAGAAAAAACAAAACCAGTGTCTGATAATTGTTCATGTTTTTGTGTTGAGTTTTTCTTGGTAGATACGATTGTAACATTGGGAGGGTTCACAGGTAAATTTGCCTCAGGATGTAAGGTGAGTGAGAAAGATGAAGATAATAATGATGGTGAAGATGATTTTTGGTGTAACAGTGAAAAAAAAAGTATAGAGATGATTAAAAAAAACTAATTCTCTCTCTCTCTCTCTCTCTCTCTCTTTTTATCTTCATGATGTTTATCATCAGAATTAAACATTTTATTTACTCTCTATTGTAAATATATATGAATTACAACACATCAATGAACGTATATCCACATGAATGATTGTAAATGAATGATTGAATTCAATGAATGAAATGTTATGATGATAGAGAGAAGAAAATTTTTTTCTCTCAATCGTTTTTTTTTTTCATTCAATTCATGATTTTTCAAATAGTTTGGTGTATTCAAGGATAATAATATAAAATAACATGATGATGATTAACGTTAATCAAACAAATTTCATTCATCATAACTTTTTTTTTTCATTCAAACGATGAGTATAACTAATGAAAAGACCAGATTATTAAGGGGAAGTGATTAAAACTGGTTCAATTTATTGATTGATTTGGTTTCTTTTAGACATTTAATTTACCATATTAACACTATGATGGGGGAAATACATCTAATCCAATTGAATGTTGATCCACTTAAAACTTAATTCTAACACTTAATACAAACCAAAGTTGTAGACCTATTGTTTCATAATTCATTTCATGGTCTCACAGATTCAGTTTAAGTTTCGCCCTGAGGGTCTTTCTCTCTCTCCCTCTCTCACCGTTGACATAATTAACAATTGATAAAAGCTTCTGAAATTAACAATGAATGTGCGGAAAACTTAATTACAAACTTGTTCATTGGAGTAAGAAAAGTTTTCACTTGTAAACAATGAAAATAAGATGAAAAAAGTTTTGAAAAACTTTATTTTTTTTCCTACTTCTTTTATCTGAACCATGTAGTTTATTTTTGTTATTATTATTTGTGTGTATTCACAATCATTTGATTATCATTTGAAATTATAAGTTATCAACAAAAAAAAAGGTAATAACTTTTTAATGGTTAGTATAATTGAGGTAAATTGTGATTAATATTATTATTACCATGATGATTATGATGATGAGTAGATGAAAATTTTTCAATTGCTTAGTTTATTGTATTAATATAGTGATGATAATAAAATACAACGAGTAGGGTTTTTGTTTGAGTGTTTATGTTTTTATATTTATGCGGTAAACGGTTAAACGATTAACACTACAATTAAAATAATTAGCTGAATATTATGATGGTGATTTAGTTAATATCAAGTTGGAATAGGAAAAGTCACTTGAATTAGTCAATTAGTTTGAGGAAATATCCAAATGAAAATGAATGACGATCAATATTTTTATATTGAATTTGCAATGTTATTATCAAGTGATGAGGATGTTAACTTGATAATGGAAAATATTACCAAGTTATGAGGTCGAAAATTATATTCTTGGAATTAGAAACATTTCTTATTCGATTAGTTGATGATTACAATTGATACTGAAGATTGATGAAATTAGTAATTGAGACAAAAGGAGAAGAAGAAGAAGAGAAACTGAGAGATGAAAGATGAAGATGCTCATCGTCATCATCTTCATTCTCGAACTAGGAAACATATGAAAAGATTTTTAATGAATCTTTACTTTTCCTTTTTTTTCTTCTTCTTCTTCAACATCTTCAGTTCATTTTATCGATTGTCGTTGAAGCTTTTTCATGACAAAAAAGAAAAGAAAAGAGGAAAAAAAAAGAATCATTATCATGTTCTTTTCTCTTCCCACCACCACCCACTTCTCATCCTCATCTTTTATTATTATTTTTTATCTTCATCATCTTTACAGATATTCGTTTATTGGTTTATCATCAGAAGGAGGAGAAAATCAAAGTAAAAGAGATTCTGTATTTTAATCATTCTAATGTTTGATTATCATGAGTTATTTAATTGATTGAAAATCATTTCAGATCAAAATCAATAATAATCATCATCAGTAATCAAAATCTTCCCTACGGAAGATTAAAGAGGAAAACAAAATCTTGGTGGAAAAGATAAACCAGAAAAAATAACATCACAATCGATATCGGAATAAGGTAAGGAAACCAAATACTTGAAATTCAGAATCAGAAAATGAACCATGGAAAATGTTACCAATCAGTGTACATATTAATATCTAAGTTTAATACAAGTAAATTGCTTTCAATCAACTATCATCATTATCATCTAATAATATCTTAGTTTATTCAGTTAAATTCAAGTTTCATGATGTAGAGAGAAAGAGAGAGAGAGAGAAATTCAAACCTTGTTAAGTGTATATTTACTTGACGAATACAGAATAAGAATATAATTCAGATGAACTTTTGATTGGCTGAATAAACTGAAAGAATTGTTAAGAATTATTCTATTCTACTATGAGAATAATAATAATATATATGACCTTTTCTCTTCTTCTTATCATCATCATCATCATCATGTTTATCATCTTATTTTTTCAAGATTCTGTTTCAATTCGAAAAGATAAAATTCTGAACCTATACGAAAAGTTCCCAGATTTTCCCATGTTAAGTTTTCACTTGAATTTCCAAATACTTCATGGTAACTGAATTTTCTATATATTTATTCTGTGTATATACTTATGGAAATACAGTTTTTACCCTGATGATTATTTACGGTTAATTTCCGTTGTTTTTCATGATTATTTCAAAAGCTGTGAGTTAATTTGATTTTAAAAATTAATAACATCTTCGAACTGATTTTTTATCAATTATGTGTTAAACTGATGAATTGTTTTAGGTTTTTTGTTGATTGTTGATTGAATTGTTTATTGTTTTTTGGTGAAAATTTTGATGGTTTTCTGTTTACTCGGGATTTCATCATGATCATAATGATGTTGATGATGATGTGGTTGTAAAAGGTTGAAATACCAAATAAAATGATGAGTTTTTTTCTTGCTCTTCATGAACAATAATCAGGATGATGATGATGATATTTAAGGTGTTGGCTTTGGGTTCAGTGAGACGATGATTAGGTGAATGGGTGAGAGAGAGAGAGACATAAGGAAGTAATAGAAGATGAGAGAAAGTGTCAGATAATGAGTGAGCTGATGATGATGATGAGATAAAGGGATGAAGTTGATGATGTTGAATGAAGTTGTGTGATGAAGATGGTGATAATAAAGATGATGGTCACTCTGATAAAAAAGAAAGAGATAAAGAAAGAGAGTTTATTGTAAGATATCTTAAAAGTAATTAGGTCAGTCTGTCAGCCATTGATCTTGACCATGAATTAGAGTGAAAGAGTCAATGAAACTTTTATGTTCTTAACTGTTTGTTGTCCAGTTACCTTGTTATTTGCTTTGTTACCCAATTCGCCTTAGTTAAAATCAATCAGCAAATTGGTTTCAGACTTCATCAATCAAAGTTAGAAGATATTAATTAGCATGATGATCATTCAAATTAATGAATAATTTTGCATAACAATTTACATTAATCAGGTTCATATACGATCATTTTTCAAAGTAAATGAAACTAATGAACTTGTATTCTGATTCCTATGGTGTTTTTTTTATATGTTTTCAAACATGAACTTGATTTATCTTTCTCTCTTTGTGGCTTATTGATGATGAACATCATCATATCGATAACAAACACAAAGGAAGATAAAAGAAGGTTCAATTTCATTGCCTTAGGGGTTTTTCAAAGTTATTTCATCATTTCACCATAGGTTATCTTCATTTCTTTTCAGACTTTTGTGTTGCATTGGAAATCATTTTTCTCCACCATTATCATCAATAGTAACAATAACATCTAAAAGTAGAGGTTAGACTTTCAATACTTTTTACATTCTCTTCCTTTACCTCATCATTATCATCAGGCTGCATCATCATCATGATAAACGTGATGTTAAATCATAAGGTTTGAATTGAAGATGAAAATCATCCTTCATCAATTGATGAAAATGCTTTTCTAATGAACTCGAATTTCGGATAAGAAGAAGATGGAAAATGAATAAAAGTGTTCTCCCTTTCACTCTCTCTCTCTCTCTCCTTATAAGAAAAAAGAATGATGGGGAAAATGTTGAAAGAGAATTAGGAAATTCTACCGAATTGAATTCATCGAACTTTTTTTTCACCAATGACTTTAAGTCAAACTTTCGCAAAAAAAGTTCCTCGTACTCTCAATGTAACCCATAAGAGAAAAATGTTCAACAATCAATCATTCATTTCATGTGCAACTGACCTCCTTTTTCTTACTCTCTTTTCATCCTCATCATCTTAAATCATCATCTTCCACTGTCAATATGTAATGCATAATGTCTTCACCTTCTCCTCCTCTTCATCCTCTCTCCCTCATCTCTTTCTCTCTCTCTCCCTTCGTAGACAGAAAAGATAAGCGATCCATGTCAACACTAACCTGTCACACTGACCTTTACTCGACCCTTTGCCACTTTACGTGTAAAAACAACTTGTCATCATCATCATCTTGATGATAAAGAAGAAGATAACGTCTAAAGATAGAGTAGAAAAATGTATCTTCCATGTTTATCTTCATCTTCTTGCTTTTTTTGCAAGCATCATCACACAGCTTCCTCTTTTTTTCTTCCTTCTCTTCCACCCTATTATCATCTTCTTCCTGATCAATCATTATCACAACAGATAAAAAACAAGGACAAGTTCAGCCGAAATTGTGTAACAATTTAGTTCTACTAATTGATTAATTTGATTACTATCATTTTTTTGTAATGATTCTCAGTTAGCTCGTTCTGACGAACTGATTTTGCTACATATCGTTTAATATCATTACTATTACAATGTTGATCACAGATGACTGATTATCCAAACCTAATCCTCTCTTCCTCTTAATCATGAGCATTTATATCCTAAACATGAGTGAGAAACCGGAAGAAATCTAAACATTCATAAATCTCAAATCAATGATAAACATTCAGCTTATTATTAGAAAGAGAATCATTAAGTTAATTCAATTTTCTCATTATAATCATGTTCATGAGAAAGTGTAGAAAAATTATCATGAAAAGACAATCATTAGATAGATGATGAGAAAAGTGATACATTGAGAATTAATAAAGAAAGTTCGAACCAGAAAGAGAAGAAAAAAAGTTCTGATCAGAGTGAAAATTAATTCATCGAAACCAGAATCAAGTTGCCGACAGAAAAAATTAGGAAATAACCGAAAAAGAGAAACAATTTCACAGATAAATAAGTATTAGAATCAATTATCATGATGATCATGAATAAACAAAGAATAAGGAAAGAGAAGTAGAGAAAAAATTTGGAAAAAAGTTCCAAACTGAAAACTAATAACGATAATGATGATAATGGCCTGGGAGTTGATAAAAAACGATAATAATAATTTTAAAAGGAGGCCAAGCATAACTTTATGGACTCAATTTGATAAAATGAGCATCATCACCATTACAATAATGATGAAGATGCGGATGATGAGTCGTTTTATTTATCATCTTGATAATATAATATATGTGCTCATGTATAATAAACATTATTATCATGAAAATTATGATATTTGTCAACAGGATGAACTTGGTAAACTTTTAAAATGATGATGATGATCATCACCATGTTGACACACTAAGGCTTTTCCAAATTTTCTGTCATCATGGTGATTATCATGATAGTGATAATAATCATATGATATAAATAATATTTATATAGATAAATTGATATCATCTAATATAAGATGATAATATATATCATCTCATTGAAGAATACATCATCTCCATGCTATTTACTATTCTGGACAACGGATGAAACATATCGAGTTATCATGAAGATGATGAAATTTCATCATGATCCCTCTTTTTTTGGTGATAATAGTCTTATATGAGTTGAAATGATTTATGAGTATACATTTTTAGTGAGTCTTAATAACTGATAGGGGAAGGGTCATCGTCATTATCATGGTCAGCGATGGTTCATCCTCATTAGAACATTAATTTGAACCATTTTTTGCTTTTCGAGCCTCGATTATAATAACAGTACTTTCAAAGCAGAGAGAGAGAGAGAGAGAGAGAGAGAGAGAGAGAGATTTTGAAATGGTTTTTCTTCAAGAGGATAAATTGAATTTTCAAATCCTATTTCAGTTCTATTCTTTTTTTCGAACTTTTTTTACTCTCTAACTTTTACCTTCTTATTGTAATTGTGTTTATATTACTTGAATTTGCTATCTGATGATTTCCTGAGAAACTTTCACTTTAGAGGCTACTTTTTTTCTGAGAATTGGTCAAGTTTGAAGGAATCAAATTTTATTTAAGCTGAAATGGTAACTCAATGTTTGTTTACTTTTAATGTTATTTTCTATTGGAATATTTTTCTTTTCTTCATCAGATTATTATCAGATTATTGATCATCATGATAATGGTGATGCTTATTCTCACTTTGAAAATGTAATGGTCTCAAAAGTGTAGCAGTTTAAAAGGAAGGTGAATTTTAAGATGTCCGATTGCATCAACACATAATAATATATACTTGAGATGATGGATAAGAAGTGGAATCATTTCAAATTGTGATGATCAGATGACCAATCAATATGAAATGAAAACCCTGAAATTGTTGAAAGATTTGAGAAAAAAAAGGAAACAATGAAAACTCAGATAATCTTGTAATCAGTTTCAGGGGAGTTAAGCTGAATACATAGTGAATTTATCATCTTAAGAAGATGATGATGTTGAAAAGGAAGACAAATACTTTTACATTATGATTATCATCATCATCCATGTTTAGCAGGAAGAAAATGAAAGTTTACTTTAAAGATGAGAGTAATAGAAAAGGTCATTGGAAGAGAGAGAGAGAGAGAGAGAGAGAGAGAGAGATGAAAAGAAGATGAGGATTAAGATTGTGAAAGAGAAAATAACAGAATATTCTGATTAAATTCAGATTCTCTGAACTTCTTTTTATCTACATGAGCAAATGTACACACACAGAGCAAAGATATTTATATGATTAATTCATTTTCGATCATCATTCAATTAGCTAATCATCATTAAAATCATATTCGAGTTCATTAGCTAAGCAAACAGATTAAATGGAAAAAAAAGTAAAAGTGAAAGTGAAAAA